TCCTGGCCACCCCCTGCTGGCCCCAGGCGCGAGGATCGAGGTTCGAGCGATCCAGGGTTTCAGGATTTAGGTTCGAGATCTAGGATGGCGTTTGTTGACGCTCTTGGCCCTGCCTGGGCCTCCAGAGGCCTTCGGCGGAGAGCCCAGAAACGAATCGAGAAGTCGGATCGGCGATCGAAGCGAATCGGATCGGCGGAAATCGGCGAAGAAATCGGAACCCAAATCGGAATCCCAAGCCGATATCGAATCGGAATCGGAAGGTATCGAAGTCGAATCGAATCGAATCGAATCGAATCGGCGCCTCCTCCTCCTCCTTCTCCTCCTCCACCGCCACGTCCTCTTCCTCCCCCCATCCTCCACAGGACTGTGGCGGTGCTGTCGTGGCGCTGGCGGAAGCTCCGACCGAGCTGCATCGTCTTCGGGGTGGGGACGTCGTCGTCATCGTCGTCGTCGTCGCAGTATTCGTCGTCATCGTCGGCGGCGGCGTCGTCGTCGTCGCTGCTGGAGTCGGTGCTCTGTGGGAACCGCGCCATCTCGGCGCGGCCAGGCCTGCAGCTCCAGAGAGGCCCAGGGGGGGTCAGGAGGCCCTCTCGCGCGCGCGCCCAGCTCGGCTCCCCTCCGATCGCCGCTGGCGTCGAGAGTTAGATTTGCTCCCGTGCTCACACCGGCGCCACCCCACCACACTAATATTATGTGTGCGTCGCCCTCCAGGGGGTGCCGCGCGCACCGAGGAGTCTTGTAGCATGTGCGTCGTCGCGGGGCGCTTTGTCTGGCCACGCCGCTCGGGGAGCGATGCACGGTGTGGGCATTTCTGCTCCTCGAGGGCCACCGGGCCCGTGCGTGCCAAGAATTCTTTCTGCGGGCCGCGCCCTAGCCGCCCACACGGGCCGCCGCCGCCGCCGCCCGCTCATCTCTCGCCGCCAGGCCCCCTGGCTCGCGCCTGCGCCAGGTCGCCGAAGGCCGTGCGCGCGGGCCACAGCCTCCGGGGGCGGCACGACGAGAGCGGCCCCGCGCTCCGAGCGGGCGGCGGCTGGCGGGGCCCGCTGCGCCGCAGCCCAGCCCGCGGCAGGCGGCGCCTCGGCCTGCGCCGCCACGCCGGCGCTGGCCGACTCTCCTGGCACTGCCGCTGCGCTGCCGCCTCCAGCGCCCTGCTCCTCAGCGCCCAGCTTCTCGGCCCACGGCATCCCGACGGCCGCCGTGGGGGGGTGGGGGGGGGCAGCTTGCCGAAGGGCCGCGTCGTGCCAGGGGGCCGCCCCTTCTGCAGGTCGGATCCGGCCTGGGCCCGCGAGCCCTGCCGAGGCCCGGCGGCCGCCCCCACGCGGGCGGCGCGGAGCCCCCTCCACACCATCTCGGGCGTCCTGGCGTGCATGCAGCACGCCGTGCAGACCATGAACGGCGCCTCGGAACCGCTGAGGACCTGGCCCTGCATGAGCTGGTGCCCGTGGACCAGCCAGGGCTCGCCCCCGACCCGTGGCGGTGGCGGCGCTGGCACGCTGCATGCTCTCGAAGCACCACTCCGAGGTCGACGCACACGAGCCTCCAGCCCACCTCGCTGAGGCCCAGCTTCGCCGCAAGCCTGGGAGCCCTGCTTCCCCACGACCTCCACCAAATCGGTCGTGGTCCTGCTGGGCCTGCCTCTCGTGCGCGTCTCCCCCGCAAGCGGACTGGCTCCAGGCGGTGGGACTGCCTGCGCAGCAGCAATGCGAGCCGACTCTCCTGCCGAGCTCCGCGAAGCCCTCGCCGCCTTCGCAGGGCCGTCCGACAGAGACTGCACCTCCTGCCCCGACTTGAGCCTGCGCGCCACCGGACGCAGGGTGGCTGACGCCGAGGAGGCCTCCGCACCGCCGCTGTCAGCCACCTCTGCTTCGCCAAGCACGTGCTGGATGCAGGCCGCAGGTCGCTTCCGAGCCAAAGAACTGCTGGGGCCGCTATCTGCCACGCCTGGGCTGGCCGCACCGGGAGCCTTGCTGGAGACCGCCGCGGCTGCGGCCGCTGTAGGCCCTACTGCCGCCACCCAGCCTGAGCAGGCCCCTGTCGCCGTGCCAGCCTCGTCGTAGATCTCCACGGGGACCTCGAAGGCCAGGTTCTCCAAGGCTGCCGTGGGCCAGCAGTCACGGGCTCCCGCGTCGGTGATGTGGACCTCGATCTCCGCAGCGTGGCGCGCCGCGTCACGGGCCCGCTCCGTCAGGCCCTCCAGGATCAGCACGTCGTCATCCGCTGCAGCATGTAGCCCTGCCCCCTGCTTGGCCCGCAGGTCGGCCAGGCGGTTGCCGTCGCGCTCCAGCGCCATGACCTCTCCTCGCCTGACCGCCTCCTCGGACGTGTGGCCAGGCATGTGCCCGGCCGAGACCCCTTCCGAGGCGTCCCCCACGCGAGCCCACAGGTGGGCGTGCATGGAGGTGGGGCCCTGCGCCCTATGTCTCGGACTTCAGGGCAATCACCGCCGGGTAGTCTTCGCCAGCCCGCGCCGTCTGAGATGAGATCTCCTGCGGCGGCACAG